AAATTTTTATTAATATAAAATGAAATAACAGTATTTTACTCATATAAAAGCATATAAAAAAAATTTTTTTTTAAATCTAAAAAGGACTTCAAAACAGTCATTTTTTGATTCTGAAAAAAGAAAGAAACATCAAGAAAAGTATTAAAAAATATATTAATTAACTGCTGAAATGCTCTCATAAAATTTAATAGAATATTAAACATAATAATAATTCTATTCTAGCAATTAATGGTAAATTTAGTTTTTTAACAAAAAATTTCTTTAGAAAAATGATAAACATCTAAAACATTTATTTATTTATTTTTTCTCTTGTTTTACGTTAATTATATTTTAATTAATAATAACATTGTTTTCTCTATAATTTTCACTTCAAACTCTCTAATTAGTTATTTACTTAAAATTATCACAAAAGTACCGGTAATCAGCAATCAGGAAGAAAATTTATTTAATTACTGAATATTAATAATGTTTTTAAATTTTTATATACAACAAATTAAATTACATTAGTGAATTATAATGTGAAGACCAAGTTGAATGCATAATAATTGCTTATTACTTTACATTGAATAACTCTAATTCACACATATATGATATTCTAATTAATTCTATTAAATATGCATATATAACAAATAAGTATATAAGATATTATAAAATAATTTGAATTATATATACTAATTATAAATAATTATTGATGTATATGCTGTTAAATTTATACAAAAATGTAACAAGGGATATATAATGATGTAAATGTTTAATATATAATAAATTATAAACTTATTTGCATTTGTAAAGAGTTCATTTGTGAAAGATGTACAGAAAACAAAGTAATACTCTTTATTTTTTTTTAACTTAGACAATGCCTAAGTTAAAAAAATAAAGAAAATTTGAATCATATTAATAGTTAGAATGTAATTCTCTCTCTAAATTTGTGTAATTTTCAAGCCCATGAAGCCCATTTTAAACTTCACCTATTTTAAAAAGGATGAGGTTTAAATAAAACATTATTTTTTCATAATATAGTTTATTAATTTTAAAATATAGTATAATAAAATACAGTAGACTAAGAGGAATTGAATTGATACAAAATAAATATAAGCTATGTACAATATACTGTATTATTTAATTTAAATTTGAAATTATTTTGAAATGGGATGGGTTAGACTCAAAAACTGCCCTGTGGCCTTGGCAATTTTCAATGTAAAATTTGCATATTATATATTTCATAAAAGTTCAATACTTCTGAGTATCAAATTTAGAATATTCTTAAACATTTTTGAAGAAAAATCAAATTAATTTGACTTCATGAATAACAAAATTTTCATTTATGTTAGATAGTTATTTTCTTAAATTCAATGCATTTCAAATTAAAAATACTTTCAAAAAAATATTTTCTTAATTTATTAATAATTTAAAAGTAATATATTTATAATGAATTTTCTATTTATTTTATGAAAAATTTACTAAAAGTTGAGATAATCTTGCTGAATTATAAAAAAGTTTAAAGCAATTGAATTATAAATAATCTATGTACTATAAATTACAGAAAAATTGTGGAAAAACCATTTAAGAACTACAACAAAAGTTCTACACAATTCCTTTGATGATATAAATTTTGTATTTGAACAGACAATGTTATCATTATCATTCTTATCATAACTATAAGGCAACAAAAGTTTAAACTGAATAAAAAAGTAACATTTAAATTAAAGAATTAAAATATAAATACACTAATATATATATATATAAAAACAGTTAGGAAAATGAATATTAATTTTTTTATATAAGTGTAAAAAATAAAATATTCATTTTCCTTTTCCAGATCAATATTTCAAAGTTTTCAGATTATCTTCTAGACACAGGCAATGCATTATCAAAAGCAGATTATTTTTTTATGAATTATTTCTCTTTCCTTATTTATGAAAAAAACTTTTTTTTAAATTTTCTTTTAACCAAATATAAAAATACTTTAAAAGAGAAAAAAATAAATTTTTTCATCTTAGTTTATATTCTAAAAATATACAAAAATATTATTCTCATTTTTGTTTATTTATAAAAAATGTTTTTATAAAAAATATTATTTATAAATGATTGCAGAAAGTCTAAAATCTACAAATTGTAGATTTGTAATTTAATAATTGTAAAGTACAGTACATTGATTTTAAAATGTGAAGAAACTTGAACACACCAAACATGATACAAAAGAATACACACAAAAAATTAATTTTAAACTTTATTAACTATAAATATATCAAACCAATAATACAAATTCTGAATTATTATTTTTTTTTTATAAACTATCATATATCATAAAATTTTTATATTAGTTTGTACTTTTGAATTAAAAATATAATTTAAAACACTAAAAAAATACACAGTTTGTTTAATACCATCAGAAATTTATTAACAATTAGATTATTGGAAACTGTCTTCATGAACTTGATATACAGAATTTAAAGATGCAATATGGTAAATTTTTGCAATTAGAATATTTGAATTAAAATATGAATTACAAATAATTTTCTAAATTTAAAATATATAAACAGTTCAAATTACAAAGATTGATAAAGATAAATGTTTGAGTCCAAACTATCCTAACATCATAGAAAAACATTTAACAGTAGTTGTACATATGTACGTATTAGGACCTATATATAGAATAGTATTGAGTTGGGAATTTTTCCATTAAAATGACTCATTAAATTAATCATATAATTTTTTTTTTTATTTACTAACATTTCATATGTCTATTAAACCATAACTCAATGAAATTTATTAAATTCTTATGAAATAGATAATTTTCTATTGAACATTTCATATACATTCAATTGCTCAGTCTTGCTTATTATCTATTAATTTCATAATATTTGATTAATATTAATTACTGAATAATTAATATTAATCTGTATCATTGCGTATCATCATCTGTTAGTTGCTACGCAGTTTAACTATATATTATTATAGAAGAAGAGTTCATGTTAAATACTTTATTAATTTAACTCTTTAGAAATATATAATATCAGCGACAAGAAAATTAAAATGTGATAACATAACTGCTACTCTTACGTATAATTTAATATAACATTTATTATATTAATTTACTAAGTAATAGTTTTATATCTTTATCTATGATATGTTTTAATATTTTTAAAATTTCTTTATTAATCTAATGTATTTATTTCAATTTATTTACAGTACTAAATAAACTAAATTTTATCTTCTAAATAAATATTAGACATTCATAAATATTCGATAAATATTCCATACAATTATATTTAATTAAAAAATTATGTTTTTATATATTATAGTAAAGACATTCTTCATAAATATTTGAATAAAGCAAATAAATATTAATTTTACAATAAAAAAAAACTGAATAAAAAAACATAATCCAGCAAAATGGATATTTACATAAAACAGAATAAATAATGCTAAATAATTCCATTCACTTTATCCATTACATTTTAGCTGTTAACTTTATTTTATATAAAATTTTTTATTTGCGTTAACTTACATCAATGATGACTTTTAGTCTTCTTATATAAAACACTTCTGTGCTGAGCATTTCCCAAATGGCATCTTGCTGATTTTGTTTTCTTTTTGATAATTCCTAATAAAGAATATATAATTAGTCATAATTATTAATTGAATATTTCCAAAAACATTTAATGTCTTTTAACAATAAAGATGTCTTTAATTAGTAAACTGTTTTTATTTATTGCTTAAAATATTTAAATAATAAAAGATAATGTCTTATTTTTATTTATTTATTACACAAATACTAAGAAATGCAGTAGATTTCCACTCTATCAAACAATAGGCCCAACAATATAATAAAAGAAACATAAAAACAACACCATATTTCATTAAATACATCTTAAAATACATAAAAACAACACTGTGGTATTACTAAAATATTATGTATTTTAACACTATGTAATTTAATTTTTTATAAAAATTATACAAGTTTAACTTCATAATTATGTTATTTATAAAAATGTACAGTACATTATAATTAAAATCTAGAAATACAAATTAAATTATACTTTAATAACTTCTATGATGTACAGGAAAAATGACGATGAAAAATAACTAAGAAATATAATTAAAAAAAACTTATAATGAATTTAATTAAATTATGCTTTGACATTTTGGAAGTGAATAATTATATATATATATATATTTCATATTTTCTAAATGAATAAAATAGTGTTTACATTTAAAATGTTTATTCTTCAATGATTTTAAAATCATGGATCACAAATTTTATATAAACAAACACATTACAAATGTATATTTAAATGATAACCTAGTTAATGTTATCTTTTCTTTGATAAACGTTAATAGTTTCTTAATTAGCAAATTTATTAAGGAAAATATAATAATACAATATGTCCTTATAATAATAAAAATAGATATTTTTAAATCATTTTCAATGAGTGAAAAAATAACAATTTCCATTAAAAATGGTTATTTTCAAATTAAACTTTTAAAATTTCTTATATTAAACTTTATTTCATTGTTAAATTTATCAACAACTTTATAATTTTATTTAGATTATATCAAGAAAAATTAATAAAATAATATACCTGTACATTTTCTACAATCTGACTCCAATGATCTTCTAACTGATATAAATCGTCTTGATGTTCACAATAAGATGAGAATGTTAAAAGGCCATGAAGCTCAGGAACTCCATGTTGACTGTATTGATTTAATAGTTCTGTCAATGTTTCCATTTTCTCTCTATCCTAATGCATTAAAGGATATATTTTTTCAAATAAAAAGTGAAAAATAATATCTTATTGTTTAAGTCATAAATGGTAGAGAAATTGCTCACACTTCTGAAAGGGTTTGAAAATATTCCACCTCGCCTCTGTTGTAACTGCTTAGATTTATTTGATTTCCATGAACCATCCTGAGAACCACTGAAACTAGAATACAATGCTTCGCCTACTAAATCTTCAGTCGAAGTCATTACGGCATTTCTTCTGCCTCTTTGGCTCTAAATAAATTGCAGCACCGGTTATAAATAAATAGATTTAATTCAAAATGCGAATAATTATTTTGGATTTAAACATATTCGGGTTACTTTAATTTTTCCTTCTCACTTACTCCTGAAACCTTTCTTTCTTTCCTGTCATCCTTTCCTGAGCTATTAGAAACATTTGTCCTTCCACTTCCACAACTTCCTGTGCTATTTGTCCTTGTGATATGTCCTCCTTCAATACTTTCTTTGGCTGAAACAAATTGTTCTTAAATTAGAATTTTATTGAGAAAATAAGTCAATTGTTTATAAAATCCTTTTAAATTTAAAATATTTATTCATTACTATAGTAAACAATACAGATTCTGCCATCAATTATCTAGCAAACCAACCAAATAACATACCAAAAAACAAAGCTATTTCTAATTAAAATGTTGATAAAAAGTATAAAAATATCAAATTGTTTCATTATTTATCTGTATGTGTTTTGTTTTTAGTTACAGATCTTAATTATATAACCAAAATATATTTATTTTCATATATTTCAATTTTTTTAATCTTTAAAAGTGTGAAAAATTCTTTTTATTTCCCTTGAAAACATTTAAAATTTCAATTTTAGAGGGATAAAAAAAATTATAATTTATTCATAAGATATGCTTAACATGTTATTTGAGATATATTTAACTATGTTAATAATTAAAATTACTACATATCTATATTACCTATCTGACTAAACTCTGATAATGCACTGTACTGTACATATTACTAATCTGATGATATCTGTGATTTCCCCCAAAACCTTGGAGTAATGCCAACATTTTCTTAATGGCATTATTCATGTAAGTAGCATTTATAATATTTTAATGATTAACAAAAGCTATTCAAAGTAATCAGTAACAGAAATTAATATAACACAATGCTCATACATGCACATTTTCCAAATTACTTTATGCATAAAAACACTTTGATACAATTTAAATTAAAGCGCAACTAAGAAAATTATTAAAAAAATATAATTTTTTATAGACATTAATAATAAATTTCATATTGTTACGGTATAATAATGATAACCCCCTTTTTTTGCGTAACGCAATTAATTTTTGCTACACGCGAATAGCGCAACATTATGGAAATAGCTAAAGTATAGTAATTTAAAAGATGTTTTACCTTTATATGTAGAATATAGAGCAATAATGGGTATAGAGTTCAAAAATGTGGATATAAAACAGTTACATACAACATATAGTTTAAGTCCACGACCGCCGTTGCCCGCAAGCAAGCCACTGACCTGCCCTCCCCCTCTACCAAACAGGAAATAGTCGGGAGGTAAAACAAGTTCGACTTGTAGACAACTGTAGTAGTCCAACAACTCTAAACGATGGAATCTTAAGAATTCTCGCCCTTCACCTACAAGCTTCCTTAGTCAAATGTAGGTTGCAAATATGACCGAAAAAAAAAAAAACAACACCCCCCTCTCGAGTTGCGTTTTTGCTTTCCTTATGAGGAATTCCTTGCTTTAATACACAGTGGCGCGTTATAGATTGGTGGGGTCCCCCAGGCAAATTTGAATTAGGGGGCCCTCGTACAGTCTTGACTTCAAAAACATTTTTATTTTCGGGAAATTTGGGGTATCCTCGTTGGTGTTTTAACGCTCTGTAGATGCACCCTGATCCTGAACCACACCGGTAATCTATGTGGCCCAAATTTAAATTTCCATATTCTTACTACGGTAAATGAGTTTATAAAAGATTGGTTTAAAAAGGGTACCCCAAGCAATTAAACATATGATAACGCGCCACTATTAATACACTAATTTTGATCCGTAAAGTACGTTATTTAATTAACTAAACACCATTAATTAATACAAAACAGATCGATTTTCTATCCCGAATAATTTCATTAACCAACCTTAATTGTGGTTAAGAGTGTCTAAAAGTTAATTAAATGTAGACGGATGCGGTGGAGATTTTTAAAGCAATTTTACACTATGATTTTAAATCCGAGAAATTTATTAAAAAAATTAAATATATAAATAATAAATCGGGAGTAAAATACATCAATAATTTGCCAAAGATATCTGCTTCTCTCCCTAAACAACTTGGACTGTTCGGTTGTCGTCCGTTAACATCGATCTTCGAACTGATCGTAAAAAACTGTAATTTCGAAATACATCAACAGTCGAGCAGTCTCGTTAATAAATAAATAAATAAAATAAAAAAAGTGAGAAGAATAAAGTTAAAAATAAACTATTTTATTAAATTCTAATTTATTCTACAACATTACTTTCATACTTTCTTTTTTTTTTCTACTTAAAATACACGCTTCGAAAAGTTTACGTATAAGCGTAAAACGTTTGTTTTACGTTCACAAATCAAGTTAACAATGCTAATTTCTTTAACTTAACACGTAATTCTGTTATGAAAATAGCCATTTACATCAAAGAATCGATGGGGAAAAAAGGGGCAAAGATGTTACTGCTGTTATGAAAATTCTATCGATCGTACAAACATGGACCATTTGAGTGTTATGGATAGAAAAATATATATGTTTCTTTTGTGTGATTTCCTCCCCCCTCCTGTTCTGTATCATTTATGTAGGGTCTATACACTTTAAGCTAGACAGAAATCAATGTGAGCAATATATTGTTAGGATTTCTCCTATAAATTGACATATCTCCCTTAGGATTGTATTGTTAGAAAATTACGTTTCTCTTCCTGTTCTGACAGACATTAAGCGATTACTAAACAATAAATGTTTATACTGAATCTGACATTACGTAAATGCATTTCTAAGTATATCATTTAAGTCGTACACGATAGCGTGTAATCAGAATTCATTGATTAGTCGTTAGAAAATAAGCAGATTATAACAAAATTTTAAGTATCCAGCATCATTTAGATCCTCTTTCTTGATTAATATTCCATTTAGAAATTCATTTTGGGATGTAAATTTAAAGAGAAAAATGGATAATTTCATTTTTTTAATAATATATTAATTGCTGCAATAACGTAATTCTTCTAGAAAAAAATCTTTTTCTAGAAATTAATATATTTTATGTGTTGTAAAAATTTATAGCTTGTTTTTCCTGCTTTAAAAAAAAATTTGCTTAAATTTAATTAAATTGATTATATTCAGTTAATTAATTTTTAGACATAAAAATGATTTAATTTAATAAAATTATATGAAATTATATAAGTCTTTATAGAGTTGATATATTGCTAAACTTCTTATCGTTTGAAATTAACTTGGATTATTTATAGGATAAATCTGGATAAAATTTTTAACAATAAGACCATAAATTAACTTATAAACTAAGTCGAAACTATATTAACAAGACGATAAAAATCTTTAATTACGTAAATATTTAATACAAGGATATACAAAAAAAATCCTTCAGTTGTTTTTCATCTTAAAAAATGATAAATTGTGTGGGTTGTACCGGATGTTTTAGGATTTTGTAGTATCTAATTTGGTTGGAATATTTAAATTTTGTTTGATTAAACCGGTTAGTTAATAGGAAGAAGATACTTTAGACGTATATTATCACCGATAACCGGGCTTAATCAATAATAAAAAATAATGTTCTGTATCATTATCTCACCTACTGCAGGGTTTGGTTTGGTTTGGTGGATAAGGCAATGAAACGCATGGGCGATCTGCCAAGGGGATGCCTCCCAGGACGACTTTCTAAAGGAAACTTAGCCCCGTTTAGATGTTAGACACGTGAATAAAACCCGGAAAACTCGCCAGTGTTCGGTGGTTTTTATCCACTCGACTACTGGTAAGCATCCCCGACGAGAGGGGGGAGACGTTGCTGTAGTGGGCCCTTCTTTTAAAAAGCCCGAAACCCCTTTTTTAATGTAAATTTCTTTTTTCTTTACGACGTACTACTGCTGTGCTTGGAGAAGGGAATATGGAGAAATTTCCTCCAAGTAAAAAGATTAGAAGGTCAAATCCGGTTGGGTAATGGGACGGAGAAGGTGGGAAATGTGAGAGACCCGTACTATCTATTCACGGAGCTACTGGTAATCCCCATCTATTAAAAGATCTTGTATCATTTTTATGCATCGAAAAGTATTTATATGGATATATTTATGTAACAAATGACTACTACTAGCGATAAATCAAGAATTCCGTTAGAAACAGCATCCAGTAGAAGTTAACTGATATAGGTTCGGATCCAACTAAGAAGGAACTTCAGGTATATTTAATGCGCATTATACATCATAATCTTTGATTAAATGGATAAAGTTTTGCATATAAATAGCCCGAAACGTCAGGAAGAAGAATAACAGAAACATTAAGGATAGAAGCCAAAAATATTCGATTAAATTTATAAAATACAGAAAGAACGATTCCATCAGAAAACAATAGAAGCAAAAGTGATTATAATTCAACAGGATTGGTAAATTATATATAAAATACATAAAGAAAGCATCGAATCTACTTTCAGTATCTTCCTTGTTATATATAAGTATTAAAATTTATTTCTTCTATGAATTCTAACGAATAATTCTTATTTTTTTCTAATAAATTTAACTTAAAAATATATATTTTATTATTATTATTATATTGTTTTTTTTTAAGGAAGAGAGAGAGAGACAAGCGTCATACTGGAGAAAACTACAGGATATTATACTGTCCTGATCGATGCATTTATTCGGAATTTTTAACCTTACAGATGGTAAATATATTTTAGGTGGGTGGAATGATGTATTTTTCCAAATCCAAAGATATTGTTTCATTCAAAAATATAAAAAAATTCGACATTAATGGAAGCGATTTAAAGCGCTATTTTTTAAAACTCATTTTAACACTTTTTCCGCAAAAAAACGAATATTTATACACAAATCTTATAAATTTATAATACTTTATAATTATATTTAATAAATTTTTTCTGTAAATTTGTAAAAATATATATATATATTATTTATGTTCTTGATCATCAATATTTTATTTTGGATGTAAGTTATAAAAAAGAGATTTACTATATAAAAAATGTATTATAAGAGAAAATATTCTGAGAAAAAATCAAGATGAAGATGTTTTTGAGGAAAACAGAAAGGCAGAATTTCATTAAAATAGTTCATAAACTTGATTTTCGAACTGTAAATTTAATAATAATGCGAGCATCGTTAGGAAACTTCTTAAAAACTAATGTAAAAAGAAAAAAACAGGAAAGTATTCTATCAAGAACAATTTTTTTCGTGTATTTTTATCAAGAAAATAAAGGTAAAATTAATAGAAAAAAAT